AGCTATAGAAGGTACTCCCGAGTTCATCATATCCATGCTGTTTTGCTGTTCAACGGATGTAAGCAAAATAAAATAATGCAAGACAAAAACTGAGTGCCGATTAGTTCTACCAGTATTGTATCTTGTGCGTCGTATCCCCAGAGGAACCGGATGCTACTGTAGCAGACAGCCTGCGGGTAGACGAGCCTGAACGACTGGTACTGCCATCTCCCGGTGTCCGACGGAGACAGGTCGACAAGAAAACAGTGGATAAACTTCAGGAAATCAGCACTGATCTTTTGTCACAGGTCAGCACGACCTTGGTGGTGGAAGTGGATAATAATTATAATCGCTCCCAGCCAGCCTCCATCGGTGATGTCTACTGGTCGAGAAAACCTTTACAATAGTTGACAAGCGATGGCTATCGACGTTTGTGCATAGTGTCCCTGAACGGATTACAGAACGTCACTGAAATAAAACGCTAAACACTAAAGCAAAGAGATTGCTGGCATCAATAGCTCGCTGTCGATGTCACGAATGTATCAATGCCGTTTTATTGTCCTATTTGCGGGCTTAAAGTATGAATGCATTGCTGAATTGAGTAGCAGCATCACCCACACATTTTCAGGTGTCACCAATGTGTCCGGTGATAACAAAACATTGTGGATTTCTTCGACATTTAATGTGCCAGTGCACACTTTCCTTACCGGAGGGAGTAGATCATATAGTAGTTAAAGGTAATTTATCGTCGTCACCGTTTATTGATACGAAACACACCAATATTGCACCCCATGAGGCTGAAAAATAGCTACGCAATAGTCGCAGCCGTGATGTAATGCTTTCCTCCCACTGCAGGCGAAACGCTTGGAGAAGGTGCTCGGTCCCCGGCAAGGAAAGCGGCCTACCAGATCGCTCTCAAGGTCATCACAGCAGAGCTTGGCCCAGAACGGGGGACCCCCTGATTGGCTGCGTTCGCATAAATCTTCTTGGCAACCTGCTGATTGGTCAGCCCTTCCAGGACAGCTCAGTCGGAAAGTGGAAGAGCTTCAGCGAGAAATGCTCATGCTCTGCACTGCACGTGGTTCTGGTAAGTCTTATGGTTGTGGCAGCACAAGACTGAAATATGGAAAAGAAAGCTTATGTACGCGTATGGGCATTGGGTGCCGATTTCTGCAATGTATGTATACGTGACTGTGTATTTTCTGAAGTTCTTGACTTAAGTCGGTCGCACAAAGGTTCTCGCTTGTTTGTTGGCTGTACGGGCAGGATATTTGTATGATTTTCGTTTCATTGCTACTGTGACTAAATAACTTACCATCGGCATGATCCACGGCCTACCAACTATGATAATTGCCATGCTAGTCCGTGATCATGGGTGTATATTCACAAAGTAATTGAACGTCTATTTTTTACCATGATTTCATTACTTACTGATAAGACCTGAGGGTACCGTATTTAGATCATCCAGCGAATCTTGCGCTGTCCGACGCAGAGATGTGCTAGTAGCGCAGCGCCGGAGCACCCAATGTCACCTTCTCCCAAACCGGCCTCAAATACCACAAACTGTGTCGTATGCCGACATAGATGTAGCCACGACCACTAAGCATTTGCATAACTCAGTTTACTGCGATCAGTTTCTCTAAAATGCTGTCGTTTCCACACAACACTTGTGCCATGGTCACCATGAGCGTGAACATCCCTAAAGTCACCTTTGTTGTCGAGAAAAAATCGCTAGGCCTTGGCTGGCTGAAAGCCAGTTAATCTTCCAGCAGTCATAAGAAAGCCCTTTTAGCCTTACTTCTCGTCGAATAACCAGGAGAAAGGAGAGATGTGTGCGGAAGTATTTCGGTCCCATGTCTTGAGCAAAGCGATTATGAGTAGTGTTAAGTTGTTGAGTGTTGTTAGTCATGAGAAGTGTTTTTGATTAGATCATGAGGTAAGGTGCCGTTGTCTGCCAAAGGTGTCGTTGGCTGAAATATTAATGCAGCTATCTTTCCTCTCTCCTGGACGAAATTTGCGACTAGAAGTACTGTCTCATGCAAGTGTGGAATGCTCCTCAAAGATGCACTTTATAACTGACGTAATGCCAGCGGCCATTTTTTAAGTTGTGCCGGAATGCTGAACATCATGACGATTCCGCCTGCTAAACTCATGAGAGGAAGACATTCTACAGCATTCATAAGTCCTATACGTATAAGTTTCCAAATGCGACGGCCCTATTTGCTGGTGATCAGGCACACGCTGTATGGTGATTACAATCATTTCGGTTATGGTCTCGCTTGTCGTCGCCGCAGATGGAATCTTAGGGCGCATGGCAAACTGAAGCAAAACGCAGTGATTTTCTGTCATTACAGGCACACCTCAAAGTCCGTCCGGCTCTCATGACCTCAGCCTGAGCTCTGCCCTCGAGGAGGCAGCGCCATCTAGTGACGAACTTAGTCCCGAAAACGGCCACCTTCACATTTCGTCTGCCAGTGGCCTCCACCCAAGAGAAAGCCCCCAGGTGCTGTGGGTGCATGACGATGGACTTTCAACGAAAATAGTCGGCAGTGGTTGTATTAACTTCGTCAAAGCTGTTGGTGGATCAGCCAACGTATTCGAGCAGCGTTGAGGGCATGCTTGAATTCCTTTCCGTGTTGTTTTCGAACAATGTTAAGGAGCGGAAAAGAATGATATGCGTGGCTCCCACATATCGTTATAAGTGCGAATGGACTCAAACGCGGCTCACCTAAGGCATCGTGATCTGTATCTTACCATACAGCAGAGGGCATCTTTTCCGCACTTTAATTTGCAGATTCATTTAGGATAGGAATCGCTTTAATGAAATATATTGGAAGGTCTCAGGATTTATTATGAGTGCATGGGTTTTTGCGCACTAATGCGTGGTACGAAATACGTTTCATGTGCGGGCCTTATGTCATTAGGCCATAGGTAGAAGTTTGCATATCCTTCAGAAGACCATGTCCCCCCCCTGATGTTGTGTGTCCCTCCCTCCCCCCCCCCCCACATTGCCACGTCAACCCGAATGTTTTTAGCGTTGAGAAGAGCCATGGGTTTTCAGAGGAGGAAAAATTAATGGATTTTTTCCTTCTAATAATGTATATTGCCCCCTCACCTCCCCTCCCAAAAACACTTTGTACAGAGTCTTTGCCCTGCAATGGCATGAGCACCAGAAAGGGCTGCGCTAATGCGGCTGTGTTTGCGACCTCTTCAGGAGTTGGGCTCTCTCGAGCAGCTCGGTCCTCCACCAGAGGAGACTCAAGAGGAGGTGTCAGTCCAGGGCGACCTCATGTGTCCTACTACTCCAGGTCAGACTGCGCGGCTGAGTGATAGCTAGTGTGACCAACAACAGCCATGGCGCTTTTTTGTAACGTTGCCCCCATTATTACCACGGGTTTTGCGCGCGCCTTTTGCAACCTGGGATGGGCCTTCTGAGTTATGCTCCCTCTCCTTCAGCTAGGCGTAACTGGCGCGCTGGCGAACTGAGTTATGCTCCCTCTCCTTCAGCTAGGCGTAACTGGCGCGCTGGCGAACTGTTCAACGCCCAAAACAAGCGGAACGGTTTATCATTCGCATTTTAACAGGTTTTATTTTACACTGTCGCAAGTCGCAACAGGACATATCGCATCTAGTCTCAATTGATCCGAGCCCAGTGACCAATTTTGGAAGACACGGTTCAGCACAAGCCTACATCCATATTGCTACCTCATAATGACGTCGGGGTCGCAGCTGCTCCTCGCATTCAGGCGCGACAGTGTATAATATTCACGAATGCGTTTTACCCTAAATAACGAGTTTCACAAAACGTTGCACCTGATGGTGCGTCACCACTTGCCTGCCATCTAGCGTCGCATAATCCGAACCGCGCGCCATCTATTGGCGACTATGGCGTGCTCACCGACCCCCGGCGTGGCCGGTGCCTTGCTCCAGAGGAGGCGACCTCACCCTGCTCCTCATCGCGCTCATCGGTGGAGGACCTCGGGGCGGCGGCCAAGTGGAGGGACAAGGCAGACCTGTACACCTCCTACGACCAGACGCTCAAGGTCGGTCACGACGTCGAGGGTCAAAGCACGGTGTCAGGTGTGGTGTCACGGAATGATTGAGACGAGATGTCGGCACCACGGATTGCCTTATGGTTCGGACTGACGTCCTCGTCTGGTGTCAGTATGTACACCACATTGTGCATACTAATACACCAGACGGGGACAATAGCTGCCAATTATTATTATTATATCAAATTAGCATAAGCGCTAGCCAATATGGGTGTCGCGGATTGCGTTCGCCACGGTGCATAACTACAGGGTGGGTCATTCGTGGTGACTCGTTCACTGGTGATGGGGGGGTGAGAGAAAGATCCACGTCCAGGGAAAAGGCGACGCCACGCACGATGTCCTTGGCAAGGGGCAAACGTCAAATGATATTGCCAGTGCAAAGTTTCTGGGCTAACACTATGATCGCAGCACATGGACATGACCAGGGTGCAACTCCAAATTTCAAGGCAAACTCAAAGGGGAGGGCATGACGGAAGCAGTTCGCACCTCTCTAAAGCATGCCCCGTGGGGTGTTCAGATCTGTCGTCAGCTCTGAGGGTAAGTTCGACGTCTGCGATCCGATGCGTTTTCTCAGCGACGCATTTGGACAAAGCTGGTTGTCGCAGTGGGGTCACGCGGTATCAAGCCCGTAAGGTGGCGTCAAATTTTAGGTGTGCATTTTTCAGGGTCGCTGAGCAAAGCCACTGCCGTGTCCCTCTCTCCTCTCTCTAGCATTGCGGTATCGCTATGGTTGTATTGTGCTTTGGCACTGTTGAAGCGTTTTCTGTCGGCCGTTTTCTTCTCGGCAGTTGTTTATGTTTTCGCACATGAGCACGCAACCTTTTTGGCTTTGGAAGTACTGGTGATCAAACATGTGCCTGGATCTCATGGTGGATCCGGGGTTCCGCAGGGTTCCATGTTAATGGGATTCAGGGGTTGTTTTTTGGGAGTTCCAGACACATGTCAGCTAGTTATTACTAGCACTTGTCTGCGTCCTGACGGTTTTTGTTTTGTGGTGAGGACCGCTAGCAGCAGATTTCAAAAGCTTTGGCGGTCTTATTCCGTGCTTTTTCACCTTACCTCAAGTTTTCCGTACGGCTCCAACTGGTGAAATTTGTCTGCAGGAAATGCAACGCGAGCTGGAAACGGTGGAGGCTGACTATGCGCTGGACCGTCGGCGCAAGAGCTCCGATGACGTCATATCGACTCCCTCGTCTTACCGCAGTCGCTCCTCCAGCATACCCTCCTCGGAAGACGTTGACGAACCAAGACTTTTTCAGGTATTTTCAAACTTTTCAGGTGCGTGACCTGATGTACTTGTGAATGGCGTTGACGCTCATTTACGGACAGTTGCTGCAGCCTCCAATACACCTGTCCGCACTAAAGACTAGTCATAACTGTATTCCTCGCAAAAAACCAAGAGAGTGGAGAGATAGATGCGTTGACATTTCGATAAAGGCAAGTTACTGGAAAATCAATGAGTCGATTTCTCAGCTCTCCGGGTTTCTCTACGAGGCATAATGTTATTACTATTGTTTTATCTATTTGCGTAGTGCTCTTGCACTTAACAACCGCCCGTACTTACGATCTTTTTTCTTTCATAGACATTAATTTTCTTTCGGGCCTGATGAGGATGGGCGTGCTGAGCCATGCGGGTCAAATCTGAAAACTCGGCCGCTTCGCAAAGTGCTTGCTTGAGCTGACGATCGACCTAACGCCATCAGTGCGTTTCTTTGCTATTCGAATTCGTGGTCTGCTACAGACTTGTAGAATATGGTCACATTTGCCTTCTGCAAAAAGCACGCCAAAAACGAAAACGGAGCCCCTCACCCGTCCATTTCATGGCCTTCTCCCGTGTGAATCAGTCGATCATGAGTTTTATTCAATTACAAAATATACTTGGTCTACGGTTTTTGAGGCTTTTGTTTTGGTTGAACCGTAACTTCCATCGCTCCACGTCTTATCCGCAGCACTTGCATGCATTCCCCCACACCGACAGCGTTCCGTTCCTCAGATGGTCGAGCAGCCAGAACACCTAATCGAGGAGGAGGAAGACGACATCGCCGATAGCCAATCAGAGCGCAGCGACTGGAGCGCGAGCGCTCTGCGCATGCGCCGTCAGCACGCCTCCCCGAGTGTGTCTTCTGCGTGCGAAGAGCGGCCGTTCACGGCCGGCGCCACAAGAACTTTTGAAATTCCAACCGTGGACACGCGCAGTCTCTCCGGCCTTCCTCCTGCTTCCAACGCTCCCGTGTTGGTGGCGGCCCAGCGAACCGTGTACTCGGTCGACGAGGGTCTTGTCAAGGTTACCGTCAGAGAGCAAGCCGAAACACCGCCGCCGTCGCCGGTGGCTGACGTCACTGGGACGGCGGAGGAAAGCGTGAGCCTGCGGCCAGCGCCGTCGGAGGAGAGTGACCGTCTGTCCAGCACGACGCCCACCCCGACGGCGAGCCCGCTACTGCTCCGGCAGACCGAGGTCACGGGGTCAAGGTCGCCAATGCGGCCGAGCCTGTCGGTGACGTCGCAGGACTCGACGCCGAGCGCCGAGGGCAGCGAAGCCGACTCGGCGACGCCGTGCGAGGGCGCCTCGCTGCTTAGCGCCGCCGCATTTCCCGCCGCGTTCGGTGCTGACGCCGGCCGACCTTCGGACCAGTCCAAGCGTAGCGTTCTGAGTCAGGCCGGCTCCAGCCAGAGCATCCGCGGCATGATCGACAAGTTCAACAACATCTCGGACACGCCGGAGACCAGCACCCCAGTGACGTCACGTAAAGAGCTGGTCACGTCACGGCCGCGGCTGGAGCCGCCCAACCTGGCGCTCCAGTTGCAGAAGAGCTTGTCAGACGGCGTGGTGGCGTCAGCCTCGTGTGCGGACGACAATGGAGACGAAGGGGGCGATGTCAGTGCTGCCGTGCAGGCGCGCTCCGCCAGCGGCAGCGCCGTGCCGCAGCTGGAGCCATCTGTCGGCGACCTGGCCAAGTCGAGCTCGCTGCCGGCGGCCGGTAGAGGCGCTGACGGTCTGGGCCTGGCCGCCCTGCCTCCCCGCTGGAGCCCGCTGCCGCCGATCGCGAGTCAGGTGCCGCGCCTGACCAGCTCGCCGGTGTCTGCGCGGACGCGCATTCTCCCTGACCAGCAGTCGCCCCCCTCCCCCATGACGCCGTCCTCCTCTGGCGTGACGTCGCCGCTCAGTTTGACGTCATCGTTGGTCGCGACGTCATCCGGCGCTCTAGACTCGTCGCTTGATTCGTCGTTCGACTCGGCGTTCGAGCACTCGCGCGCTCGCGAGTCGCGCGGCTCGGTGGCCAGTGCGCGCGCCGAGCGCCTGCGCCGGGCGCGCGACGAGTTCTTTGGTGCCACGTGGTCGGCGTTGCCGGCGGGCGCCGAGGGCGGCGAGCGTGTGGACGGCGCGTTTCCGTTCGGCGCCGGCGCGGAGAGTCCGCTACGCCCGCCGCGCCGTCGGGAGAACGCGCGGTCCGCCGGTCTGGCGCACAGCAAGAGCACCGGAACCATTAACGAGGTTGTGCGCCTTAGTGACGTCAGCTGCGGCAGCGACTTCAGTGACATCCGCGTCGAGGACGCGCGACCGGAGGTGCCGTCAGCGGCGGCACCGGCAGCCGCCGGCGGGGGCAAGTCGGCCGGCTCGCGGGTGGCGCACTTCCTGCGGCTGCGCCACGCCAAGAAGCGGAAGGGGGCGGCGATCGGCGCGTTGATTCGCCAGAGCATGGCCATGGGCGCTAGTCAGCCGCCACCGCCGCCGGTGATTGGCGCAGATGCGGAGGCTCCGCCCACCGCCTCGCCGCCTGCGCCAGTCAGGAGCTGTCCCTCGACGCCGATGCTGGAGAGGGCGGAGCAGAGGCCAAGGTCGGGCTGGAGGCCGCGGAAACTGTTCCGGTCGCCGACGCCCGAAGGAAAGCGGTAGGATGGTGCAGTCGGGTTTTGTTGTCAAGGGGTATGGTGTGTTGGGTACCAATTGGAGTTAAAGGTCACCGACTTTTCAAAAATATGATGGGGGAATTCTTCTGCGATCATGATTTGTTTGTGCGTCCACTTCCCCGTTTCGGACTGCTGTTTTCTCGCACGCGTGTTGTCGTGCGGCGACAGGTTATGCTCAGCATGCGCCTAGGAGCTATTCGGAGCTGTACACGGGATCAGTAATGAAAACATATTTGTGTTCGATAAACCATTTAGACATGAGATGTATTTCACCTACCATGGAAGTGGGGGAAAAGGATGGGTTTTCTCCAGTTGGTACGCTTAGAGTACTTGTCATGTCTTTGCCCCCTCGAACCTACACTTGGTGGTGATGGCACCGAAGTTGAGCTCGTCGTCTGTTCCCAGACACATCACAGACGTGTCCCACGGGAACATTCTCGATGTTTCCAGTATGTTTGGAAACCAAAGAGTCGGTCCCAGCTAGAGGTGACCCGCTGTCGTTGCCGGCCAGCTGTCAGTGGTGCAAAAGTGTACGACCGCATCGCAACGGTGTACGACCGCATCGTCCACACAGTACTGCAGACTGTTTCCGAGCTTACTGAGCTGCTGTCTGGCGTTCGAGGCATGCGAGCCTCTTTAGTGTTGACACGGGGTGCAGCATGTGACTTGCGTCAAGCCAGAAGCTGGGTGAAGACTGTGTGTCATTTGCCTGTGCGGGGTGGTGTTAGCTATCCTGTGCGGTGTAAAAGGATCCTGTGCGGCGTTCAAGTATCCTGTGCGGTGTTAAAGTATCCTGTGCGGCGTTAAAGTATCCTGTGCGGGAAAATGGCGCAGGCAGCGGCGGATTTCCTCCGGCGGCTTGCGGGCAAGGTCCAATACGTTCCTGCGCTGGTGTCTCAAATTACCACCCAGATGACGTTTTTGATCGTCAACGACGGCCCGCGTGACGTCATCTATCGTCAACGACGCCCTCAGAGACATTTGGTTACGTCGTGGACGAACTGTGCTGCAGGATGTGGCGCGCGGGCTACAGCCCTGACACGCTATCCGTGTTTTGTTTTTGTTTTTTACGACAGGTGCTTGGTTTAGAACCGCAGAGGGAGCTGCGTGCCTACCAGCTGGAGGACTAGCAGAGCTGCGTGCCTACCAGCTGGAGGACTAGCAGCCCTGCCGGCCTTCTATGTGTGTTTGATAGCCTGATTATGAATCTGATCGCAGATGGGTAGTGCGATACCCGGATCTTGTGAGTGTGCGTGTGCGCTAGTCAGTCATTGTTTGCAATGACCTCAGATCCGTGTATCCAATGCTTGCGACTGCCGCGGACAGAGAGTGCCTTTTTGCTGTCTGCTTGACCCACGTGAGCAATAAAAGTTGTTTTATGACGGTCTGGCATGCATTTAATGAGCGCGAGCATTTAAATGAGCATTTAAATCCGTTCTGGAAGTTTTGCTACGAAATTCCTGAAAAGGGGACAATACCTTCGTTCGGAGATTGTGGGGATCTCACCTACCCTCCTCCTGCTTTGTTTTCTGTTTTTATTTACTGTTGCATGATATGATGCCGTCTCATTCTTGCCGCAACTGTTCGCAAGGCAGTGGACTGATGTTTGAGGCCTCGAGATACGTCCACTGTACACAAATATTTGACTACCAAATATTAGCGATGGGTGTGATGAAAATGCGACAAGGTGGATGAGCGGATGCAGATACGGCTGCTCTGGATAACAAGCCTAGCGTTAAACCTACCGGAGTGAGTCTATCCAAAGAAATGCTTCAGCTTCTATTCAGGCCCTGCGCGCTGGGGGAGGGGAACATTTGGTCCCGAAGGGCTCCAAAATGTGACTGTTGGCTATGTGGTAAAGTCACATATAGGGGTAAACAATGAGGCTTTTTGGAGAGCTTCGAATCTAAAGAATTGGCAATAGACCCCTGGGATGAGCTCACATCTGAGGAAAGTCCCTAGGGCTGTGAATGGCGTCATGGAGAGTAAGTAGATATAAAAATCCAATCACAAAAAGCATACAAATATCTCGCTCTTTGCGAGCAAACTTCATTGCACTACCACTAGCCACTATTCATCATACAAATGTCATAGAGTGATGATAAATCCAGTCGTTATTTCATTTTGTTTTCGTTACGCTGTGCCAGTAGCGCGAAGCGTACTTCAACGACGCTGGCCCTCTCTGCCGCCAATGTTAGTGTGGCTAGTCACTGCACCTGAGCTTATTTGACTTGCCGCTAGGCGCCACTACTGAGCCGATTGGTAATAGCCAACAGCTGATCAGCGGCGGCTTGAATGGAACAAAAAAGCAGAAGCCACGCGGATGGCCGAAACGATGTGCAGCAGCAGCCCTGTGATTTCAGGTAACATGGCGACCAAGGAAAAATGTTGATCGCCGATTACTGGCTTGCTGAGAGTACAGCACTTATCCGACCAATAGTTTTAGGTCATCTAGGCTCTAAATACTGAATCATAGAACGGCGGATCAATTAACGATTCATACTTCCTCTCACCCTATCCTCGCCAATGGTGCGCTCCGTATTCCTGCATGCTCTGCTACACAGGACTTTTGCTGCAGTCAGTTACGGCCAAGGGTCGGCTTCAAGCCTTCTTTGATCACTCCTGTCCAAGCGCATGGAAGGCTCCGTCTGCATGAAACACGGCTTGGACTCAAGGTGGAGTGTTAGCCTGTGGCCAGAGCTGGCCGGCTCCAATATCACTTCGCTTCTTGCTCGTGGCCCGCACGACAAGGTTCTCGAATGGATCTGAACGAGCTGAAAAGGCTAAGCGATCAAATTATCATTTTGACCGCAAGTTTATCCAGCCCCGCATGTATGTTCACATAAAGCTACCTCTATCATTACAATTTGGCGATTCGAATCGTCTAGTAATCCGGTTTAATTACTGTTGCGTTTTCCAACATGCCGAAAGCTTTTCCTCACGTTTTCACCAAAATTTATTTACGTCACAAATCGTCTGGCTATTGCAAGTTATATTACAAGGTATGTACAAGTCTTCTGGTACTTCTGGCATTATTTTGTTTATGTCATTGTTGGGCTGTGAGCGATCAGTGAGTTCATCAGATCAGATCAGGTGAAAGGTGGGCTCCTAGCCGCATGATCTTGAGTGGCCAGAGAAAATCCGTATTTGACGGCCACGCAGCGTCCGCAAAGTAACCTCCTGATGACATGTTTTGTATTATTAGACCTCGACAGACCCTGACGCAGCGGAGTGTACACAGAGATACACACGTCTTGAACTCAAGTAAACTTGTAGCATACAACATCGTGATCATGGGACCTGTCGTAAAGTGGAGAGTGCCAAACTGCTTCATTTCAGGCATTTATCCCGCAGATGTGGGACAAAAAGCGATCATGAGAGTATTGTAACACAAAATGATAGGAAAACGTAAGCGGAAGGAGACAAGACATGAGAAAAATTTAAAGAAACTTAACACGTGAGAGGCATCAGTATCGTATCCTGCTGCAGGGGTGTAACAGTTGCTGTGGAGCTTAACACAAGGAGGTAGCACTTTAACAGAACAAGTCATGTTCACCCAAGGAACTTCATTTGAAAACTTAACGAAACGCGGCATACGGGTGAAACTTAACAAACCTGAGTTGTGAATGTTTAAACAATGCTTCATACTTGCACGGCAGACAGACAGACGGACAGACAGACGCGTTTCGATCATCGTTGCTTTGGCAGGAATCGCTGATGAGTAGGTCTGCAACCGACTGCCTGCCTATTTCTGCCAATGAACGCACATCAACGGTCTTATGAACAGCGATTCCGACAGAACCCATCGCATATCCCGCAGCATTCCGGCTGGTGTACGCTGTGATCTGCCCTGACAGCGACTGTGGGCGCGCCGGCATCAGGAGGGGCAGATCAGACTGCAAGACATGTGCGGAGCAACAAATTCACGTGCAGTAAATTGACGTGCGATTCACAGAAAACAGGCTTACGTGCAGTAAAATGACGTGTGATTCACAAAAAACTGTGGGCGTGTGAGCACCAGTTCGTTCGCGTCGAGGACGCCGAAATTAAGTGTGTCATCTCCGCTTTCATGCTCGGGTTACAAAGCGAGCCGCCCGTCGTTACGCCCCGCCAACACCGAACATACTTGACATTGGGAGAGTCCGCGGTTGTGCTTCACAATGGGCCGTTTCCGTGCGCAGTAGGGTATGTCTACGCGTACGCGACTAGAGTCAGTGACAATCCAGAGGACGTCAGGTGAGGACTCTCGGAGGACTCTCCGTGAGGACGCGTGAGAGGAACACAAAGGTACGCCGCTACTACGAGCCCTCGCCCGCACGCCCCCCCCCCCCCTTCCCCCCCCCCCCCCACCCCGCCCTCCCCAGCCTCAGCTCGCTACGCTGACATCCGAGTCAGAACGAATTCACAGTCCACACACTGACTCGCGTTCACTGGTAACGCGCTTCGCAGTCACTCGCAGTTCCCAATTCAATCTTCCTCGCCGGTCATGAAAGACAAACACCGCACATCGGTCCAATTGCCGGACTGCGGTGACCGACTCGCGCGCGACTCGCGTGCGCGACTCACGCGCCTCGCCGGCGCGAGCCCGCGTGCGGTCCTGGACTCGCGTGAGTCTTGGTGGACTGGGGAGTCGGCGAGCTGCGCAGCCTCTGGCCTCGATCCTGCGACAGCGATGACTTTCTGTTTTGGCCCGCTCCCGGCTGCTGGCGGCCGGGCGGAAATGGGTCACAGGCCGTTCTACTTCTCGGCCGTTCCGCCGCCACCGCCGTGCGGTAATTGCCGGCCAGCTGACAGCGGGCGCGAGTCGCCGCCAGCCGCGCGTGGACGCCTCGCTCCAGCCGAGGCCAGGCGCCAACTGGGCGCGTGCGCCAGCTCTGCGGGCGCCAGCGCGCGCTAGCTCCGCCGATGAGAGCGTGCGTTGAGGTCCTGTTGCGTAGCGGCGCGCCGCGCGCGGCCGGCGCCGCCGGCGTTGTCTTCGGAATGCGAGGTGCCCCGCATGACGAAGCGCGCGCTGTTTGCTCGTGCGCTTAGGTGGTGCGTGGCGCCTCCGTCTGGGAGTTCTGCGGCCGCAGTAGCAGGAGTCGGGCGTGTTGTGCTCGATCCAGTCGAGATAGTTGGAGACTCGTGTGTACACGCCGGGAAGGCCTGGACGACCACAACCTTGACCCCAGCTCACGATTCCTGCCGGGTGGTGAGATTAGGTCAGACGTGAGATGAAGACAAACGCGCGTGGTGCTTTCGTTGGCGCGGCATGGCGGGGCAGGTTTTCCTGGTTGATTTATCTGCGGCCGTCGCTGGGGACTCGTCAGTGGCAGCGAGAGCATCTGCCGCTCGTGGCAAGATCGTGGATCTCTCCAATCTGGGCTCTCATCAGACGCCATCTGTGACACAGATGCCTAAACCGCCCGTATATGCCTAATTCGAGGCTGATTAGAATCCGTCCCGAAGACCGCCGCTCTTCCGGCGTGGACTGGGGACCAGCTTCGACGTACCTGGCGCTTGACGTGCCTGGCTCAAGCCTCACATCGCGCACAGCGTCCCGGATCAGGGATTCCTCCTCGTGTTTGCGCGTAGGGGCGGTGTCCCCTTCACTTACCAATGATATTAGTCTTCCCGTCCTTGGCCTGCCAGTGCATCGGTCCCCCACTGTCACCCTGCAACGGAAAACTCGTTAGAAACTCGTTAGAAACTCGTTAGAATGTGATAACTCATCGTATTATCTTGTTTACAGCTATGCTGTTGGGAAGGCGACGCCAATTTTCGGGACTTCGTTACGCTTCCGCTGTGCCCTACTCCCACCGGCACTGACTGAATGCCCTTTTTCCTGTGCACTGCTTGGCACAACACACACATGCCGCATTCAAACGCGCCGAACGCCCACTCACGTGTGCGCCTGCGCATAATTGCCTTCATAATTATGTCATTCATTAAGGCAAGCGCACGGACGTCCAGCCACCCTAGGTCGCCCTCGTTCCCAGTCCATTATTAACTGGCCACGACGTGATCCCCCTCCCTCTGGTGCACTGTTGGTCGGTCCCGGTCGAACTCGATGCCGCGGCCAACAAGTGGGAGTGAAACTCTTCGGTCCATACGCGGCGGGACGGCACCGGGCCGGGCGACTGGTTCGTACAGTGCCCGGGTGCATCGTGATCAACCCAGTTGGCGAGCCGATAAGCACACGGTGCCCGGGTGCATCGTGATCAACCCAGTTGGCGAGCCGATCGGGAGGCTGACACGGTGCCCGGGCGCGCAACGATCATCCCAGTTGGCAGAGAGAGAGAGAGAGAGAGAGAGAGAGAGAGAGAGAGAGAGAGAGAGAGAGAGAGAGAGAGAGAGAGAGAGAGAGAGAGAGAGGGAGAGAGAGAGAGAGAGAGAGAGCAGAGAGAGAGAGAGAGACAGAGAAGAGACAGAGAGAGAGACAGAGAGACAGCGAGACAGAGAGACAGAGAGAGAGACAGGGAGACAGAGAAGAGACGAGAGACGAGAAGAGACGAGAGAGAGAGACGGAGAGACGGAGAGACGAGAGAGATAGAGAGAGAGAGAGAGAGATAGAGAGAGAGAGAGAGAGAGAGAGAGAGAGAGAGAGAGAGAGAGAGAGAGAGAGAGAGTAGGCGAGGAGAGAGAGAGGAGATGGGAGAGAGCTGAGAGAGATAGAGAGGAGAGGAGAGAGAGAGAGAGACAGACAGACCAGACAGACGATAGACAGACAGACAGACAGACAGACAGACGACGACAGACAGACCAGACAGAAAGAAGACAGAGAGCGGGACAGACAGAGTGAGAGAGAGGGAGAAGATAGAAAAGAGAGGGGAAATAAACAGAGAGAGAGAAAAGAGAGGACTAAGACGGAGAAAGCCAGGAGACGGAAGATAGAGGGAAAGGAAGCACCCCGCAGGCACCGGAGGAAGGACGAAGTTGTAAACAACGCCCTTACATAATCTCCTTACATCCTGAATTCTGACTGGACCGCTGCTCACCTCAGCGTGCCGACCACCGGCCTGCCGTCTCGGTCGCCATCCTCGCGCCCGTTGCCACGTGCCGGCACCGGCTGCCGCGTCGGCGGCGATCGCCGGCGCCGTCTCGGTCGCCCCGCGCTCATTCGGCCACGTGCCGCCCCGGCTGCCGCGTCGGCGGGCGACCACCGGCGCCGTCTCGGTCGCCCCGACCCCGTTGCCACGTGCGGCCCCGGCTGCCGCGTCGGCGGCGACCACCGGCGCCGTCTCGGTCGCCCCGCGCTCATCGCCACGTGCCGCCCCGGCTGCCGCCGGACCAGATCCGCATAACACGGTCACGTCTCGGCGCTCCGGCCGGAGACCGGGACGCGGCCGTGAAAGTTCAGGTTCGTCGCAGTGGCGCACCCAGCAAGAACTGGGCACGTGCCAGTGGCATTTGGAAAAAGTTTGCGTGACGTGCTGTTCTTCTGAGCTGATTATATTTATACGATAGAGACAAATCAACAATTCACTTTTATTTCTGCGGTTAAAAGCATTTTCTTCAAAGCGTGCAAACAAAAATCGTTACCGCCGAACCGTAGCATCCCTCCTGAGCGCGCCTCTGCCGTGTGGTGCTCCTGAATTTGCATGAGGCAATCTGTCTTCCCGGGGTTTGTATCTGTGAGAGCTGGAGGCACGTGTTTGTATCTGTGAGAGCTGGAGGCACGTCCGGGTCGCACCAGCGTCATTTGCGGAGGTGCTGGCTAATCAGACGCCGCCTCGGATGGGTTTCACTTTTGATTTCTTCTTGATGGCGGCTCGCCGTTGATGGTGTTAGAATTGTGGTCTTCCCAAATTATGGATTTGACAATTTCTAGTTCAGTTCGAATATCCAGTTAGATAGGGTCGATGTGGAATGTTGCCGCACTACTACACAAGTAAGACATGCGTGCAAAAAAGGACGCTACCGAATGACGATTGTAAAAGTAATTTCCCCTCCCTAGGTATATATTAAGTTAATACTTGAGAGAACAGTATATGCTATATGATAAGGCTTATTAATGATAAGGCCTTAAGCTCTTATTTCATCGGAATTATTAGATATTACGCTCAGAACAAGCGGCGCCAATGCACCGGATGGTACCGGATATGGTGCCAATGCACCGGATGGTACTCGATAAGCAAAGCTGTAAGGTGTTGACGTTGTGATGTGCCACGAAAATGATGTGCGTTGGAATACACCATCAATGTTGATTACGAAGTTAACATATATTATATATGAAATGATATGATATGCGTGAAAATTATATGGCCATTGCTCACAGCAGTATGCTAACAGAGTATATCCTATGGCATGCCTCAATGTGCTATGTGGAATATTTTGCATGGAAGAAATGTACGGAACCTACGAACAATGCCCGCACGTATGTTCGTCGATGTAAAAATCATTGGTGAGGTAGTCCTATGGAACACCCGTCATTAGTAGATGTTCTATTTGATGTATACCGTGGGAAAATGGCAATGGGGGTCAGCCTCTTTCTCCTGCCGATCGATGCACGTATTGTTCAGAATGTGTCCCAATATTCACTCGATATCGTTCCTCCTTTCCTCCTTCCTGCCTGCGTTCCTCGTTTCTACTACCCGTTCCTCCTGGCGTGATGGACGTAGACTATTTTCAGCATATTAGCTCACAGGATATACCACAACGCACCAGACCATCTCACACATTTGTCGGGAGTCAGCATCATTCCATACTTCCATGGAATGAAGGCACGGTTTATTTTCCCTGCGGCTGTCTTCCCCATTGCCTACACGGCTAACCTGCAGTGTCTCTGACATGGGTAGCAGTGCGAGAACTGGAGCGCGTCGGGCTGGGGTGGGAGGCGGTGGGGCGCCGCCAACGTCTGGGAAAATAAAAACAGCAGACCTATCGCCGCACATGGGAAGAGCTGATGTATCCCTTACCCCGAGCGAGCTTCCGCGGTCGTCATCGCAGCCTCTCATTGCATGAGCCAAGGCCGCCCTCTTTCTACACCCGGATTCTGCTGGGCGTGGGGGCGCAGAGGCGTATCTCGCCGTCCTATTAAGGAGGCGAAAACCTTGGCTGATTTGGCAGACTTCTTTTTCAACATCTTCCGAAACGCGCACGCCGACGCTTCCTTTTGGGAAGTCGGCTTTGAGACACATTCTGTACTCGGAGTCCCCCCCTTGCTATTTCCTGCATCCGCCTCTGCCGTCTTCGCCAATGCCATCTGCACTCGTCGCCGGCGCGTGACATGAAATTTCGCTTTTTCGAGCGGCCATGAGAAATGGGCCAGCAGCCCTGCAGCATCTAGAAAGTCACACCGGGTTCTCCTCAGTGGCATCGCTGAGCACGGCTGTGGTATGGTGTTGGCGGCCGTGGCGGTGGTGCGTGTTTGTGGGGTTGTGTACAGCTTTTGCTTGTTGCGAAATCGGCTGTAAGGTGACGCTGATATGGGATTGAGATGATGGTTAATGAGGATAATGATGATGATAAAACGTGATGGTTTGATGATGATTCAATTAGGCACAAATCGTATAAGGAAAGGTAGGAGAAAGTCCATTGCCTGAAGTGAAAAGGCCTGTTTCTGAGAAAGAGGGGATAGTTTGTCGACTGCGGCAAGGAGGTGCTTTGCTGTTGTTTTTTATGTTTCATGGCGCGCAGACAGCCGGGGTCATTTTGCGCCCCCGAATGGGGCGATATGCGCAGAGGAAGGGGGGATGCGTGAGCGGAAGACCGTGCGCTGCCGCGTAACATAGGTGGGCAGCACGTTGGGATTGAAAATAGGACAGGCGACGAAGCATGTTGTATGGACAGAGGACGTGGACACGAAGAATTTATTGGGCCTGGGTCACGCTTCAAGTGATGATGGTGGGTCAGACGGATGGAGCCGACTCGGAGCCACATCGATTTGATTGTGGCCCACCCACCTTCATCTTCAGCTTCACCTTCACCTGCACCTTCACCCTTTCTCTCACTCTCATTCTCACCCTAACCCTAACCCTAACCCTCACCCTCACCCTCACCCTCACCCTCGCCCTCACCCTCACCCTCACCCTCACCCTCACTCTCACACTCACACCCACCCTAACCCTCATCCTCAGCCTCATTCTCACCCTCACCCTCACCACCACCTTCACCCTCACTCTCATCCTCATCCTCACCTTCACCCTCACCCTCAGCGCTAGCCTCACCTGACAGGCGTCAATCTTTCCCTGCGTGTAGCCGGCACACATCATGTTGCTCGTGATCTCCTCGGCGTCATACTTCAGTGCCCGACACTCGGCGTTGCTGAAGACCGGCAGCAGCACCTCCTGCAGCAGGTTGGCCGTGCTGCCGCCCTCTGACGTCCGGCCCCAGCCTACCACCGTCACCTTCTCGCCCGTGTAGTTGTACCCTGCGGGGAGACGGTGACGTTAACGTTGATGATGATGTTGATGTCGTTATGGACATTGAGGTTGATAATTATCTTGTGCCAATGAAACTGCGTGCCCCAGTCAGTGTCTGTATATTTTGTAGGAGACAATGACGTTATGTGTATATACATACATATATATATATATATATATATATATATATATATATATATATATATATATATATATATATGTATATATATATGAATATATATATATATATCTCTCTCTCTCTCTCTCTCTCTCTCTCTCTCTCTCTCTCTCTCTCTCTCTCTCTCTCTCTCTCTCTCTCTCTCTCTCTCTCTCTCCTTTTATGTACATGCATGTAGGTTGCCATATGTCCGCGCTCATGTAAGCAGTGACGACAAGCGACATGTTCCAATAGACGAAAACGCTTCACAGTAACACCGTCATTGAGTATAGCTATTTGCTATTTCTGGGGTCATCTTATCCTTCGTGCTCTCACCCCTACCCATTGCAATATTCCCTTACTAACTAGGTCTTTTGGTTTAATGAAATTTCTTGGGGATAGCTGCTCTAGGAATATCTGTAATGGGCAAGAGCAGGCACAGAACCCCCCGGGTCATGCTAAGGTTTCTGCTACTCGGCAAACACAGAAGCACCAGAGCGCCCAGCACTTTTTTCCAATAATGCTAATGCTCCTGTTCGCGGCAGACACAAAGGCCCCGAGGTCCTCCTAGCGCTGCTTTCTGGTCCTGATGTCACCCTTGTGACGTCACTCTTACCCGGTCTTGGCAGGCAGACCGGCCGCATGATCCTGCTGAAGCTGACAGACTCCTTCATGCGCACCAGCGCAATGTCGTTGTTGAACGTCTTGGGGTTGAACTCGGGGTGCTTCAGCCACCACAGCACTTTGATCTTGCGCGTGATGGCTTCGAAGGGCAGGTTTCGGTCGTGCTCTCCCAGCGTCACCTCCACCCTGTTGTGGTTGAGCCTGCCGGATCGGCGTCGGCCATCGGTCAATCATATTTGGCAATGCTTTGGCAGTGGTAAAGCCGGCGTTCAGTAAATGCTCGTTTCCTTGCGACCAATAATATCGCACGGATGCACGGTTTTAAAACACGAGTGTAAAATGTGTAGGGGACATGCAAGCTCATCATTTCGATCGCTTTTCTGTCAAGCCGATCTCATCTATGTGCAAGTGCTTTGCTTTCCCTCCAGTGTAACTCATGCTCAGATAACATGACATTTCACTTGGGAGCAATTCAAGCTGCGTTTAACAGTTTCCTACTCGTAAAAGCCCTGTGCCATTACACATATCTGTCGATGTGTTTAGGAGAATACACTCTCACTTTCACGTCTGTCTGTGAACGTTAGGGTATCCGGGTGGAGTGGAATACATGGCGTATTTATCTCCTCCATTGGCTTTCCGTCTCAAGCCACTGCGTCAGTATCGCCGCACCGTGAGAATTATTGACAATTCTGGCGCACGCTCGCGTCTGAGGACACGTTTATGGCCTCCGACGTCAGTATTATCCAATAATGCGCAGCGGGGAGGGAAGCGCACTTCAACATCCAGAAGGCAATCGTGCTGGGTTGTTGGCATGCAACCATTAAATTAAGCAACCAATCTGTAGCACATCTGCGTATGAATTCTCTTGTCGTGTTTAAGGAGCTGTGAAACTGATAGCTGTTTGCACTGTTTCATTCCGTTCTGCAAGACGAGCACGCTGTTCTGAGTCCTGCCCAGCACGAGGATTATCCTATTATATATATATATATATATATATATATATATATATATATATATATATGTACATATATACAGGATTATCCTATTCTATGTCAATGGGAGTAAAAACTAAGCGGCCCACCGGTCTAGGAACAGCTTCCCCCACGCAAGAATGATCAAGCTAATGTATGAAGCATGAACAGGAAGTGAGCTCTGTGACGTCACGCCGCTGGGATCTCCCCGCAACGTTCACAGCCAGATTGCCGAGCAGCGGCTGCAACAGACGCGACAGCTCTCAGCTCCGAAGGCATTAAAGCACTTTCAAATTTCGCAACTGTGACATGCAGTCAGCGCCGCTTTTGCGTCATCAAGGCTTAGCTGACATACGTACTCTCAGAGCCCATTAGCGGTCGAGATCCACAGTCAGGAGCTGAAATGGTCGCGTAGAGCCTACATGCGCTTCAATCCAGGACATAGATTAGTCCGAAGATGGTTTGGGACCGTTGGCCCTCTTGACTTGCTTTGCGCAATGAGTGTGCTAAATTTGAAATTCGCGCCAAAATTGCCCTACATCGTGATTTTGACACGGAAAGCTTTGCTGATATTAATACACTAAAACAGCCTACCGTCTGCTTACGGTGGGCGCCCGTGCTGCGACGCACATTTGAGTAGAGAGCGTATACTTGTTAAGCTCTTCAAACATCATACAACGTACAAAACGAACCTCGTTGCCATCCAGCGAATAGAGCGAAATGCGCCGGCGGCTGGGCCATCTCATAACACTTCTACGTACCCGTTGATGCAGTGTGCGGCCGTGAGCACGTAGCGATCGTTGATGAGACTGCCGCCGCAGTAGAAGCGACCTCTGTATGTCAGCGCCACAGCCCACGGGTATTCGTTGATGCGGGACGGCCGTCCACCGACCACCCGAGTACCTCGGTTGGGAACACCGCACGCTGAAACACGCACGAGACGCCGGTTATGCTGCTGAACTGGTTAAAACTGCTTCAAACCGGTCGCGGGTGCATTTAAAACTGGGCAACCAGACAGCTTGAAAGAACTGGATAAAGCTGCATAGAACTAGGTGAAACTTGATAAGTGGTTTGAAGGTAAATGAAGCTGGATGCGTTATCCAAGCTGGACAAAACTGGAAAATGGATGGACGAGACTGAAAAAGCCGAACTACTTGGTGGAGGAACTGTCCTAACTAAAATATTGGCCGCTGGGGTCGTCACGGAGCCGCCTACCGGAATGTTAATGGTGTTTGTGGTGCTCGCATCATGCAAGCAGCGACATAACGTTGCTTGTTTGCCGCGAACTGAACCGAACTGAACTGAACTGACCTCGCCGCATGAACGGAAAGAACGCCACAGTGGAACATGTCATGGAGCCCGTCACGAAGGCTCCAAGTGAGAGATAAGGACGCATTTCCCCGTGAGGTAACCATGACAGCCAGCTGCTCAGCATATGACGTCACTATGAGCGTGATTATCATCAAGCGTGAGTGAATGCGCTGCAGTGGTGGATGATGAACAGTTTAATGCTGGCACGGTGACCGACACATTGCTGTGATGCAATGAACATTAATGGTGGAGGTGGAAGCGACGCTGAAATGTCTCCCGCATGGAAAGTACAGCATCACTCAAACAACAATGCGACGATGGTGCTTTGTAGAAGACCTGGAAGGCCAAATCTGACGTATGGGTCCAACATATCGAAACATGCAAATTGCAGACAATGCGTAAGTCGAGCGATATTCTTAAAAGACAAAAACGCAGAATACAAAAGCACTTGGAAACTATCCATAAATGGGTGGATGACGGAAGCCAAACCAAACGCAGACGAAACTGGGCGGAGTCAGTAAGCAGAGCACTCTAAACTTTGAAACAGCAGAGAACCTACACACTCAGCCGCACTCGAGTGAATTGTGGCATGACAAGCCAATGGGGGTGATGTGGTCATGACTGTCCGTGTAGAGAAGGCAGCGAGTTTGGATAGAAGCGGCGTACTTTACCCAATCTAGCAAGACACGTGAATCATAGTTAATGTGAGTCACAGCTCACATAGTCACGAAAAAACCTGTGGGTTACCCGGTGCGTCCACACTGATATATGGAGGAAAAGTTACACTCCAAGTTGTCGTTGCTGTCCTCCTTGCAGCAGGATTTAGGACGGAACTCTTCACCAGACAGTCGCAACTTCATCCCACAAAAGTAACGAATTCAGCTGTGATGAATTCAATCGTGAGCATTCGACTGAATTCAACTGTGGACGTGCACCTTTGCCGGCCTGTCCCTATCCAACATCAAACAGCAATGAAAAGGAAACGGCTTCGCAGATTGAGACAGGTCTTCATGCCATAAATCTACGTTCCATCCATAAATGGACAAATGTTTGTTTTAAAGTGGGACCAAGTAAAGAAGATTTCGTTTGGAGCATACATATCTGGCAATTCATGCCGTGCAGGAGCCCAGGTGAGCGATCATTGATCAATGACTTCCAAAGGAGGACTCGCTTATAAGCGAAAACTTAAGAACAGATGCAGCGAGCACATGTAGCATGGTCACTCATGACCATGAGCACAGCTTCAGTTATCGACCTTTAGCAATACTATGCCGCCCAACCACCTTGACTCTTGGTAACTTGAAGGTCGATAGGTGTTAGCATAGAAACTCTGAACTCATAATACCGAAAAACCAGGAGCTGAGGTTGCTTAATCAAATGTAAAGTTCCAGTGCTCCTTCGCGTTGCCTGACGATGATTTACCCTGTGTGCAGCAACCGCATTTAAACGGTGAAATGACTTGTGCGTCCTCCGAATTTGTTAAAAACAAGTAGATTTGTCTACGCTTGACTTTACCTCCAGCCACGAGCTACAAATGCAACGGAGCCAACCCATACGGCGATTAGACCGAGACCACTGAGGTCTAACGATACTGACATCTTGATCATCGAACTTCGTGAAGACTCGTCTAGTTGCAAGCGATCGATACAGGCAACTGGACAACGACGTAGACCACCCGGCAAGCTGACGTCTCAGTGCATTGAACTGCGGCTTCTTGGCAGAACCGTAGCTCCAAAGAGAGAACTACGATTCTGTTCAAACACTACGTAGGACCGTGCAGACAGCAGATCAGTCTGAGAGAGACGGATCATCCTGGCAGTGAGCACTGCAGCACACTTCTCTGCCATTGCACGCCATCTGTTACAGGCCCATCCGCCATGTAAATGGCTTGTGAAAGCGGATTGCCGCGGGGTGGACCGACATTGGGTATTGTCGAAGCAAACATCAGCTCAAGAACCTGGCCGAGCCTCGCCGGGTGACGTGGCGTGACCTGTTTTGGATAGCTTTACTACACACGGGCATTATGCACAGCAGGTGTGTGTGTGTGTGTGTGTGTGTGTGTGTGTGTGTGTGTGTGTGTGTGTGTGTGTGTGTGTGTGTGTGTGTGTGTGTGTGTGTGTGTGTGTGTCCGCATAGCGGATGTGCGTTACCTGCAAACTTGTTCTGGCACGTTTCCTCGCATTTGCTTATGTCCGGAGCCTCCGTCGTTGCGGCCGAGGTTTCGTTTTCCTTGGTCTTGTTCTTGTTAAAGAGGGCTTGAAGATCGTCAAAGAGTCCTCTTTGCAGAGCTCCGGCCTGCAAGTACCAGCAGCTCTCCTAAGATGAGGTACTTACAACCGTTGAGTCGGGCTCGTGCGTTCGCTGATTGGTCCGCGCTTGTCGTCATTTCTTTTGCGGCGAGTTATTGGTCCGTCACGGGTTGTAAATCCTTTTCTCGGCCACTGATTGGTCGTCGGCGACGCGATCCGTCGAATGTCTGTGATAGCATGTTGTTGGCGTTCGCATCCGTCATTCTGCAGGCGGTATTTTCAGTCTTGTTCAGTCATACAGATGTCGTCACGTTTGGTCAGATTGTTTTAGCGAAGCAGCGATGTTGGTTTATGTAGGCGTGGTGAACGTGTCGTCGCTGGGAAGTCAAAGTCACATTCACCCAAACTTATACCATGGTCACAACCACCTTCGGTATATTTATGAACGGACAGCGCCGACCAAATTAATCTGCATTATCTGCTGTCTCGCTGCTGTATTTCTTGACAGTGCAATGTAGCGAGCAGGCCCAAATGTCGTGCAGGTGTCGGTCCTGCTCCCTTGAGTCTGTTCTTTTATTCATGCGATTTCGATGCCGAAGGAGTACATGGACGCGCTACATAAGTTTCAGGCTCACCGAACCAGGAGACCGAGAAAGCACACCTTGGGTTGATACCTTAAGGGGATGTTTTTCCAGCTTTACAAAGTACCGCCGTATCCCATCATCGTCAGGTCAACCAATCCTTGATCTGATAATGTCGAAAGGGCATTTTTCCCTTCGCCAGTCGTTACGTGCTTGCATATGGTCACATCAAATATTGACCTGGGTTGAAATCGATCGGGCCAATCACAACATTTTGTGACATCACGGTTTTTGTCCAAAACAGGCAGAAAGTCTTGTTCCAATCAGCAGCTTTTTAAGCCCAACAACTACTGCGCAACAGAAACATTGCTACAGCTGTATTTTGTTTGTGGCTGTAACAGCATGGACTAAAACGTTCACACAATGAAAGCACGAGCAGTGTGTACTCTCCTCTATAAAGCACACGTTAAGTTTAAATTGCAACGTAGTTGTTTCAGCCCGCAGGGAAACTGTAGGCAAGCACAAAGGATCAAATGTGTCACGGAAATACGCCTCAGCTATTCGGCTTCCACGTACTTGACCCAAAAGCAGCTTCCAAGCAGCTTCCCTTTTAAAGGCGTCGCCGTTATTGGGGGGTACTATAAACCACACCTGAGAACCGGATACATTCTCATCATCGACGGCCAACCGCTATTTGCACTGATGACGCTTCCTTTCACTCCGGCCGTGCTTTGGCGGCGATTTGGACGAGCGCGCCGCCTCGTCGCCGGCGTCATCGCCACGCAACCCCGCCGTTCCCACGGGAGCCGGAGCCCCTGACGGGAAAACAAGACGACCCAAGCGGAAGCGTGACCTGATGGGGCTGTGTATCGCCGCGCTCGAGTGCCCCGGCACGAGGGACGTGCCGTAGCGGTATGTTGGTCACGGCGCTAGAGGGATTGGCGGCTGGCGGTGGGCCACGTACACGTCCGGCACGTCGGCACGGCACGTCGGCACGGCACGGCACGTACACGTCCGGCAGCAAGGCTGGCTTAGGGCTTCAGGATCCAGCAGTGTTACGCATATTTCACCTCTTCCATCCAGGATTGGTTTTCCACGATTTTCCGGCAGGCAGCCTTGGGCTCAGGACTGAATACATGTCAATGTCTGGTGTCCGTGTGTAGTGTCTAGTGTCCCTAGTGCCTAACATCCGTAGACACGTAACTTCTTGCCATAAGTCAGTGAGTGAAGCTGAATATGGCATATGAAGTCCCCTAACTGGGCAGATCAGTCACGAAGGCAATGAGATGACCTGATGGCTCGCGGGTCAGCGGACAATTACGATGCTTCAGCACGCGATGAGCACATTTGTTGGCCGTGACCGGCGCCGACGGTCGAAACGTGGTAATCTGGGCCTCTACAGCACTCGTGCCCGGTGCCGCTTCAGCGGGGTTATTGACGACTCTGGTTTGAGGCTAATAGTGCCGCCTCACATCCCGACTCCGAGCAACATTTCATACCGACTTCCATTCAGACAGACAACAACCAAACAGACAACAATCGAAAGCGGGCTGACTCCAACGACGTCGATGCTGATTTAACCCGAAATCCAGCGCGGCCCAGCAGGCGCGAAGAGGGCTGAGTGCGATCGTCGTTAGCCAGCACCGGATGCTGCACCTGGTGGAGAAAGTGCGCCTCCGCCGCCACCCGTCTTGAACGACCGTCTCCACCCCGTCCAAGGTCCGGCGTCGGCTCCGGGACCGCCCCGGGCGGTGTTCCGGTCACTTTCACTGCTCGCCACCTGCTTGGAGAGCGGCCGGCGTCGCCTGATGACCTTCGCGCTCCGACACAGACGGCGGCGGCGTGAAGGTGAGGGGTCGGCGCCCCGCCGTCTGTCCAGCCTCGCCGTGCCGAGGCTGGACAGGCGCAGCGGGGAGAGGAAGAGGTGGTGAGGGCGGTGGGGCGGCAGTTGCGGCTGGCGGGAGACGCCAAGGGCAGACAGACTAGGCAGGGAGAGGGAGCGGTGGCGAGGGCGGTGGGGCAGCAGCTGCGGGCGGCGGGGGAAGCCAAGGGTAGACAGACGAGGCGGGGAGAAGAAGAGGTGACGAGGGCGGTGGGGCGGCAGTTGCGGGCGGCGGGAGACGCCAAGGGTAGACAGACTAGGCGGGGAGAGGGAGCGGTGGCGAGGGCGGTGGGGCAGCAGCTGCGGGCGGCGGGAGACCGGGTGGAAGCGGTTTCGATGCGAAAGGTGGATGGGGAGACCAACGGTTGGAAAAGTTAAGGTCGCTTTGAGTACAGATGCTGGTTAAAACAAGCGCCTTCTGATGGAACAAGCTTTCAGTCAACCCAGTCTCGATGACGGCTGGGACGTAAACAGTACTGCCCTTCACACTACTTCATTCAACCGACAGAGAAAAGAGACCTGTGCGAGGCAACACTTGTGCGAAGGCTAATTGCAAGCCTGAGGGCGTTGAGATGTCGCTAGCTCGCTGGTTGCGGATGATATGGACGGTGGCGGTTGATCTCCATGACTAGCTGATCCCGGCGAGCGTACCAGCGACTTTACACATTGTTCGGCAGGACTTTGGTTCTTCCGATGCTGCAATTGCCATTGCAGCACTTCATTTTTGAATGCATTCTTGACCTTTTACTTTCGTAAATCCATCTGTTGCACGGACAGCGAAGAAGCCCAATCAAACGTGGCCCAAATCGTCATCAAGCGAAAGGTGTTCGTTCCACTCCGCGCCGCGAAAACTCGCTAATGACGCGACATGGAACTGACTTTTCTGCATTTCTTATTTAGCAGCATTTTCCAGGTCATGCTTCACTTCAGAGGCCTCGAAAGCCAGCCAAACCATTTGAAACAGCGTCGTAAGGTTCAAGCTTGAGTTCGCTGTTGTTCTTATGGCGCTCAGCAATTGCATGGAGCTAGCAGTGTATCCAAGAAGATACGGGGGCTCTTCTCCCTTCATACAACGCTCTTGCCTGCACTTTCAACTGGAGGCTGCTTAACTTCATTTTGGGACTGCGCCCACCCCATAGCAAAGCCACACAAACACCCTTGCGTTCACCTGCCGCCCGGAAGCCGAGCAGCCTTCCAGTCTCCCGGCTGAACGGCGCGGCACCCACCTAAACCCGCGACCGAACCGCTCCCCGGCCGGAGCCGTGGTCGTAAACGCTGCGTCGTATGCAGTTACGACGCCTTGCGACACCCGCCGCCCGGAAGGCGACCACGCCGTGGTGTTTATTGCGAGACGGTCGATTCATGAGGCTCCTTTCGGCAGCCCGCTCCAAGGCCCGAGCGCGTTGCATAACGCGAGCGCGTGTGGACGCGACAAGAGCGCGTGGTGACGGCTCGCGGGCGCGTGCTGTGCCTGGGGCGAGCCTGTCACCTCATTCTCGCAATGCGTGCGCCGCGGACGCGGCAGGCTGCAGCAGGCAGGAGCGGGGGAGCGTGACCGCCTTTCCTTTCCGCGTTCTGACGTGGCCTGGAGGGAGGTGGTATGGGATCTCGGCAGGAGTTGGCCCCACTTCCCACGGAGTGCACTTCTGAGCCGGTGACAAGATGATTGCCACACCGCAGTAAACATTCATCATATGCACCATGCAGCAGATGGTGCCATGGGAACGTGACCGTATGGTTCAGTAAAACCGTCTCTCAGGAAAAGCTCTAACAGAATTGCATGCAATGGATGTTCTCTTCTGCGCAGAAAGCGCGTCCCTGCAATACCGTGCAGCGATGCCATTCATTGCTTATCATTTCAGTTCATTCCAAACTCAGTGCTTCAACCGCCTCGTATTTCCAGGCTTCTTCCGGAGATTGGGATGACGAACCGCAACCGTGGCTGCAGCTGTGGTCGCAGTACATCAGGCGCCGTCGAATCCAGCTCAGGTGCAAGCATTCCAAGGTTTGGAGACGTGTCCAGTGGGGAGAGAAGAAAGTCCACTAGTGCTGAGATTAGAAACTGCGGCCTCCGTATCCAGAGAGCACGCCGCCCCTCCCAGCGCCACACGCACTTACCGCAGTTGCACCGCTTCGGCGGTTCGTAGCGCCTCTCCCCGAACAGTGTATCCCAGCCCATTGCTGCCTGAAAGGTCAGGTCAAGTCACCAGTCAGGTCAGGTCAGGTCAGGTCCGTTGGAAGTGTTCGTGAACGGGTCTTGTTGTGGAACAGTCACGGTCCGGTCACAGATCGTGAAGAACACGAAACAAGACACACAGTCTAACACAGAACACAGTCGAACACGCGTCGAACACAGGTAAAATCAGAGGCGGACTGCTTCTGCTAACAACTACTTTGGCTGAATCCATGCAGGACTTGGCCGATCAACGTTCTGGAGACCCACCAAAGAGGAAACGCACATGCGAGCACTGAACCGCTCCAGACGGTTTTCCAGCATCCGCAAATGATACTCTATATGCACGCGATGCTCTGAAACAAAATCATGCCGGGCACCACAAAGTCATGTTACTTTTCCTAACAAAGGCTTCAGGCTTCAGTAAGCTACGTTGGCTACCCAGTAGACTTTAATATCTCACAGCAGAGTAGCCATGACTGCGTTCCACGTCAGGCAAATAACACCACGCGCCACGGCAGTATAACGGAACTCCTTGCTGTGACGCCATCCATTCGAATTTCTGGCACACAATGACAAAAACGTTAAGGATGTGGGAACCGGGAGCAAGATAGGCTGCTACTCCGCAACTTTGGGTGAATGTGAGAAGAGTCTTATGACCTATGAAGTAACAAAATGGGTTCACAGTGTCACGAAAAGCGATTCTGAACATCCTCAACTTTTACACAGTTTCAGCATCCGTGGCAAACACGCATCACGAGCATCCAGACTCGAAAATAACAGCGTAAGTGCAGCTGGTTCAACTTACTTATATCCAATGAGAAGTGAATGGCATTTCGTTTCAGCCTTCCGCTAGTCTATGCCAGCAATTTCACCTTTAACGATCATATGTGCTGGGACAAGCATGGGAGCATGATAGATTCACGCTTTGGTTCAGTTAAGCTCTAAGAAAAATCAAGGCGTTGTCCAACTTGAGAGTGTTCTTTAAAAGGGAAGTACATTGGCGCTCGGCACAAGTTACGTCCGGTTTACTGATTCCAAAACTGTAAGGAGTCGTCATGGATGCTGAAACTATATAGAAGTTGAGGCCGTTCAGAATCGGTTTTCGAGACATTGTAAACCCATTGTGTTACTTCACGGGTCATAGGACTCATGCCGCATTCATGTCGCATTAATGCACCACGTCCAAATCTGACTGAGCCGGGGTAGGACGTCTTCCCTATCATAACTTCCCTCTCTTCATCAGCTCGCTGCCCTTCTCTTTGTTCCTTTTCCTTCACTCTCACTTTTTCCTCTCTTCGTTTCCGCCCGTCTCCCTTACCCCTCCCTGTCCCCGTCTCTCTCCCTCTCTGCTATCCTCCGCCACCTCTCCCTCCCTCCCCAGATCACTAGAGCAGTCCGTTAGCCTCCAGTGCTAACCCAAAGCCAATCCGGCGCCTGACGCCACTTCACGGCACAAAAGCCATAGCCGCCAGCGAGATCCGCTGCCGCGATCGTGAGCCGACTTTACGAACTATCAGGCTGACGTCCCCCTGGGGACCGGCAGAACTACGTAACTGCTCTTGTAGGCGGCGCCAGTTACGTTACTCTTGCGGTGCACTCCGCCCATCATGACGAAATGTCATCCCTGCATCTCATCACTCTTTGGAAACCAGGTGTGCTTAGCTACGTCAGGCGTACAGGTGCTTTATTCCCGATTGCACGTGGTTCCTATATTCGACGAGTGCTTCTACAGATGGCCTTTAATGATAGGTCAAGGAGAGCAGCTAAAAATGCGGTGGTACGCACTTATTTGCCTTACAAAAAAGGGAAGTGCATAAATAGCACTTATCGATTTGACAATTGGAGCCATTTTGAGGTGACTTGTAATCTGAGACAACACGAGTCACGATGGCTTAGTTTGTGCGAAATCGGTATATGTGTAGGAGCATCTTTCAAAGAAGTTGCAACGAGCGCATTCCTTCACCCGGATAAACCGCGTACCCGATAAGCGCTTTCCTTTCTCAGGACTGAACGAACCTAGAAGAGCTCCAAGAACCAAGATCAAGGCGTTCTCAGGAAGGGGTAGGCAGCTGAGTGCGGCAGACTTCAACCCGACCGCCGCAAGTGTTCCCCATGAGCCTGCTGCTGCTGTTGCGGTTGATCAAGCGTGCAGAGAACTGTGGGATCCTCACACGAATCGCGTGCGAAACCCGGACCCGGTATGTGTACACGGATGCGTCAGACGTGGGGTTCACGTGGGAGGTATGGTCAGCTTAAATCGGTGTTATACAGCAGGATTCATACATCAGGTACATGACGATGTTGCAGCCAACGAAGCGGGTGTTCTGGGGAATGGCTTTGCACGAGAGATTCATTTCGGTTTCGCTTGTATAAAATTTGAGGAGTGTTGTGCGATTGAAAAGGTACAGAGATGGAGATACACAGAAGGGGAGAGAAAGGGAATACAGTCAGAATATGACTAGCTTGCTATGGCTATTGATACCACCCTCATGACATTGAACTCATCCAGCATATTTGAATGTTGGGGTTGCGACTTGAATATATTTATTTGGGGGGCATGCCATAAACACTTTGTACAAACATATCAATGGACTGAGTTCCGATGAGAGTACTTCAAGGCATCATTCCGAACAGAGAGCAATTCGCGAAGTTTGATCACATTGCGTTTAAACATGTGTTGGTTTCTGTGCTTCGGCACAGACGAAACTGAAAGTCAACTTGTTGACCTTCGTAAGTTTGCCCACATTCGTTATTGCCAAATCATACTATCGCACGATTCTGGACGAAAAAAACTTGCGTAAAACGAAGCAAAAACATACAAGTCACGTTCCGTCATCTGTCTGCACTTTCTCTCCGCGAGATCACAAAGATGCGTTGACAAAAAGCGGAGGGCAAAATTGATGGGCCAAGTTCAAGTTACCTAACATCAGTGGTGTGTCAAAACGCTATCAAGTTCAAATCTGGGTGAGTGTAGGTCACGTGCACCGATTTCAACTGCGAAGTTTGAATTTCGTTTCCGCGTTGGCAACATCTGCTGGCCCATTTCTTCACCGGTCCACCAAGAAGCGGGTTATAATTACACATCAGCTGATGATCACGCTTGCGGATGACTTTGTCTGGATCCGTCGCGTGATTGTCTGTCATGTCATTTCTGTGGGGAACGAAAATAATGCTACCATTCCCCGGGAGCGCGGGAACCAACGAATAGTCGGGAGGCCCAGACTCTGCTCCCCACCAATAGTCGGGAGGCCCAGACTCTGCTTGAACCCGTTCTGCCTCGCAGCGTCACAGCGCCAATGGCAAATGTTTGCATTGTGTATCGCGCGGTGGCGCGTGGTGACTGCAGCAATGGTTTTCAACTAGAGCACTCAAGCTGCGTGACAAAATGGCCCAGAGAAAGGGCTCTAGAATGGCCTCGTGGTGGCCCGGAGAGAGGCCTCTAAAGTGGTCTCGTGGTGGCCCGGAGAGAGGCCTCTAAAGTGATTTCGTGGTGGCCCGGAAAGGAGGCTCTAGAAGTGGCCACGTGGTGGCGTGGAGAGAGGGCTCTAAGGTATCAGGATGGGTTATCAGCGATGTGATAATGCGAGTCACAATATCTGCTGGAGTGACCCAAGTGCCGTAATTCAATACAAATTATTTCGACAATCATTGAAGCAACTGGCTGGCAATTTTATCCAGCAAGCATTTCATACACAATGCACTATAATTTAAAAAGCAGTGTTCCACCGGTCCAGCTTGGTGCAGCATCGGAAATGGAGCGCATTGTACAAAGTCTGCCACCACCATTCTACATTATGACGCTCTCAAGTAAACATGCGTGGCTGGAGAATTTGATCGCGCGCAATAAGTTCAACCAGCCACGTCCCGCACCAACCGTATTTCTGCATTCAGTTGACACAAGCGAGCAAACGAGCGATTTTTGTGCTCCACGTGCGCATGCGCCTACAGCGTCTTCCGCGGGCCGCTGCGGGCGCTCTCCACATTTAGGCCAGCCGGGCAGAGTCTATTGTTCAGAGTTTGGTGCGCGTGGGAGCCGACGCCAACAGCGGCGTCCACAGACCAGCGGTTCTCAAATCTCGTCGAGGCACGTGGGGTGGCGGCGGCAGCCTTAGACCGCGAGGACTCTGTCGGTATGCCGAAGCGCTGTTCCGCTTGCGAACATTGGTCGTGTTAACTGTTGCGCTGGTGTGCACATGCGCATGCAGATTGCGTTCCGAAAAAAATCCATTGGTTTCGGTGTGCATATGGCTCGTCTGTTTTCTATCCGGATGTAAGGAGTCTTGTTTGTACACAAGCCGATCTAGTCAAAACGTGGCCTTGAACATTATTGCATAAACCAATGTCGTGAGCGTGGGTGGCATTGCATTTCCTATTGCGTCAACTTAACTCCTCATGATAAACCGGCTAGGGAAATGAATCCGCGACAAAATAATTGGGTGCGTTATTTCGGTGTTATATCTGTATTTTCTAGGTGGCGTAATGTTTGAAATGGCCATGAATCAGGGACACATAGGTTATAACTGGCGTCTCTTGTATTCATGGTACATGGTTAAATCGGTTCATTGAAGTAGAACAATTTATGTACAAAGATCAGGATGAATACAACAAAATTCGGTCAATGAGTAACGTAAAACTAATTTTGTCGTTCAAACCATGAGTAACGTCAATGAGTAACGTGTATAACCTATGTGTCAATGAGTAACGTAAAACTAATTTTGTCGTTCAAACCATCCGCAATGCATGTAGTGTCGTCTTTGCAGTTGGTAACACAAGATCCACATCTACAGAAGGAAGCAGTCGGGGATTCGCGTAACTCCAGTTTCCATCACAGGGGTGGTTTGAAAACCACTGACCGCTCTTGGCAGCTTTTCTCGAACGGAAAACTAGACCAAAATTAATCAGCGACAACTGATTACTCTATCCAGTGTGGAAAGGAGACGGGACGACCAATCATGCATCTGTCATCTAATAGTAAAATGGCGAAGCGTGGCTGTCACCAAGCGAGGCTGTCGGAAGGCAATGCGAGTCTAACACATCTAACGGTCGAATTTACGTGAACATCCCTTAACTGGGCACACGTGGAAAAAAATAAATGCCGCTTCCGCAGCTTCCCGACCTGATGAGGTAAAAATCTGAACTGCTCTCATCTCCTCGTATGTTTTGCACGCGACGTACACATCTGAGCTCTGGCGGCGGAGGAGAGCACCTGACAGACGTGTGTAAGCCTGACAAACGTGACAGGCAAGACAAACGTGACAAGCGTGACAGCATCCTGCCATCCCTGCTGAATATTATGCGGCGGGCGACCTTCCCAGCATGTTTGTCCGTGAGCTCGGTCGGCACGTGCGTTATGTACGCGAGGACCCGCAAAAGGGAAGCCGCGTGGATGGCGGCTGAAGAGTGAGGGAGGGGGGAGGGGTAGACGAAGATGACAACGAGTTGAAGACGGAGAGAAGGAGAGGCGAGAGAGAGAGGAGAGAGAGAGAGAGAGAGAGAGAGAGAGAGAGAGAGAGAGAGAGAGAGAGAGAGAGAGAGAGGGAGAGAGAAAGAGGGAGAGCGAGAGATGAGAGAGAGAGAGAAAGGGAGAGTAGAAAACCATCGAAGAGATCGAAAGAGAACAGAAAAAGGCGGAAGGAGGGAGTGATACAGAAATGGAGAAAGGATAATGGAGAGGTCGGTTAAAATAGACTGAATGGAAGGGGTTAGAGTGTGACCGAGAAAGAGGGACGAAGAAAGAGAGGGATGGATGGGAGAGAGAGAATGAGGGGGGAAACGTAAAGGTGAATCGTAATTGCAGCAGCCTGATGATCACAGCTAATGTAACGCCAAATTTTGCGTCTTCTTATGGCAAATGGTTGCGGCGTTTGGACGGACCCAACACTTCCTCTTACATTCGGAGATGCAAGTATACGACGTAATGACGTCATTACAACGGTACCCAAGACGCAACTTGGAGCCAGTTAATTAAACGCGTCTCTAATTAGCCCACTCTAATCAAAGCTCGGTGAACTTCCACAATGGCATAACTGCCCTCTCCACAAGCGCTGTAAACAGCCGATGACTGCCGCAGCCGTTCGTGCAGGAATGTGTGCAGTTTCCGCCCTCTGCAGTCGACGCTCCTCCACATTATTGGCGCACTTTAAATGACGCCCGCAGGCGGATCTTCAAACAATTCTTGGCCGGGAGTAACTGGTCGCCGCGCGACGTAACGTAGCGCATGACGCTCTAGGCGCACGAAACACCGACCCCACGGACAATCAAGCCACCCTCCTTCCGGGACACGGCAGGCACCCATCCAATATACGGGATGTACCCAAAAGTAGGATCAAGCCTAGCATTTTAGACTTTGTTTCTACGCTGCAAGAGAAATATTTCGAAATTGTGTGCAAGGCACACCTCCCCTGGTCTTTGTATTCCCTTTACCCATATCCCCTTAACCCCGTTAAGAGGAATATGGGGTGCACATTGACCCCGTTGTCACCCGTTGCCTTTGCATGTCTGCGCTCCCGGTCGTCACATTCTGCTGCGCTCGTCTGCAACAGATGCCGAAGCCGGATCTGGGTGTTCTGGATCTGGGTAGTCCCCGGTGTTCAGCGATAATCTCTGGGGACATCCGCTCACACTGCTGCTCAATTGAGCGAAGCTAGTGATCCTGGCGTGGTGTAACTGGAGCCGACGCATCGCGGGGCGACTTTAACTCTTCGAACGCCCCTACACACACACACTCACATCCAAGCTTTCGACGCCGTCCCTGTGGCTGGCAGCGAGCCCGAGTCCGCCTGCTGCAGAGTGTGGGTCGCTGCAGTGGAGCGCGATAGCCCGCGGGCGACGTAACTGCACCCATGACACCTGACGGGTCCCGTTCGCTGCGCGACCCGCAGCGCGACCTCCGGCTCCGCTGATCGGGGTGCGGCCCGCCTCGTCAACGCGTGATGAGGCCCAGCCCGAGACAAGAGCTGGCTGATGAAGCGGTACGGAAGCCGTAGCATCGCACGTGTCTCGAATGTAGATTTAGTACAAGCATGTGATGTAGCTGCTGAGGCACTCTGGTGGGTTGGGTTGCATCAGCATCATCATGCCGATGATGAGAGAGCCCAATGTGTGGTAGTGCATATAGATGAAACCTTTCGTGGGAAGTGCATAGACTTGTCAATCGTTAAAAATGCTGCTGCTGCCAAGTATGACGAACACGAGAGAAACTTGGGCATGATCTGCGGGTCTGATCAAAAGGCGGTTAAATATGTCCCACCTGGTAAGTTACCCTATAATCTGCGGCTTATTTCAGAATAACTCGGACCTGTTATGATTCCCGTGGCGGATTCATGACCCGAAAACCCCAACTTGGGCGACTACTTGACTCCAGTGACGATGATTGGCAGTTTTCGCGCGCTTCGGCCTCAAAGGCCATTTCACGCCGTCCGTGTTCACTCTCTATGATCACCGCTCTATTAAGAGTCGGGCCGCCATGACGTGACCGTTGACTACTGCTTCACAGCGGAAGTCGTCACCGAGTCGCCTCCTGCAAAACCCCAAAACAAATGTTTCGGCATTTGTCTGGCTCAGAAACTGATTCTCGTGCGTAATTTGTTGAAAAACTTGCTCTTGCACGTAACTGGCTCACAAAGTGTTACGCCAGCACGGCTGCAGAGGCGTATTTAGGCTGAGATAGACGGCTCTAACCTTGACCCTGAGAGCAGCCGGGCTCAATCAATCATGATAGACGTCATGATTTGCACAACGTGGGAGAATAGCCTTTTGATCCCCTGGTTGGGCCCAACGAAGGGTAATTAGGATATAAGCGGTCTGATCTCAGGCGGGATAATGAGTAAAAAGCTGAGTGGGTAATAAATGGATAAATAAGTAAATAGGAAATGCAGATTGACCTTTTTACAACACCCTTTCAGGCCCATGTTTTCCTCCGGAACTCTTTAGACCTTATATTTGTGCATATAGCCCAACGGCCCAATATTTGTTTTGCATAGCCCCATAGATCTCGCAACTTCTACTCAGTCGCCAAAGGCCAATGTGCATGTCCATAGGGAAATGCCATAGGGCTGGCACCACTCCGACACATAAACAAATGCACATACCGTCAGCACCATAGTCCCGCAAAAAAGAGGACACGGAGGAACTATATCGATGGATCTATATATCTATAGTTCTCTGGCGAGCTTTCGTGCTATTTCCTTAAAGCCCCTTATGGGTGCTGGTTCCCTGTTCATTTGTCTGTTCTCGAGCGGATATTTAGTGATGCTTTTTGAAAGATAAGTTCTGATTAAAATTTGGGTCAGGGTGTTGTTTTCCATTCAGTTTGGGGTCTCCAGTCATCGACTTTGAACAAAAATTGACCGAGTTTTAAAAAACTGTTTTTTTCATTTTTGAGTGCAGGTATAGATTTTCTTCCATGGCTCGTCCTCTCAACTTATTTTGCAAAACTGCACCCTAGGATTAAGTGCGGTTAAATTTTGGCACTGAGATTTGTACTAACACCATTGCGTGCAACCTAATAGTTTGTGGCACTCTCAGGTATGCTGCTTCTTTATTGCCCGAGAAATATCCCGTATCGCGGCACAGGGTTTCGTAGATAAGCCATTCTTAGAGCATGCATTTATTGCATGCGACGACAAGCGACTTCTTTTAACTTGATTTTAACACCCGGGGGAGCATCCACGACATGAAATCTTCGATCAGAAGCCTGCATTTCTTCGACACTTATTAGGTTCCACATATTTGAAAATTAAAAACAAACGGTGCGATAGACTTACAATATACAACGCAAGGTTTTCAAAGCCCATAATCCTCGATTCCAGTGGAGGGGGCCAACCTTACCTCAGTTCTGTGAGCGCACATCACCAACACAACTATTGCACTACCCGTCACGACCACCCAGCTTCGCGACCCTCATTGTAGCTCGTGTTCTTGGCACAAGAGTTTGTCTCACAGACCGCTCACTTCAAATGCACCGCGACACCGCGCTCTTATTTGGAATCTCTCAGGCTGAGGTGCACGTTCGTCCGCTCCCAATTTCCCCGCAACGGAGGCGCCCGGCGCGTTTTCAACTCTCCGGAGCAGGGGAGCCGGGCGGCCGTCGCACGCGCTCCGTCGTTGCGGCGAGTACGGCGCAGCGGCGGCGACTGAGCGCGCGCCACTGGCAGCCCGCGTCTCATCGAAAGTGAGAACTCTGTGTAACGGAGAGCCGGCCAACTGGGCGATAAAATTAGGCCTTGGAACCCTCTGAGGAGTTGAACGCGCGGGAGGCAGGTGCGCACTCCCATGGCGTCTTTTAGCGTTAGATGCAGGTAGGCGTCATGTCATCGAACAGCATGGGATCTGAAAGAGATCGGCAGCATTAGTGAGCATTCGTTGGTAACACGCATGACATGCAGCCATTGGATAATTTTTTGCCGTTCAAGCGAATGCATTTGAGAGAGAAATTGGCAGAATCGCCCAGCTGTAGAGCATTCAGTGCCACGTCAAAATGAATGACTATTTCGGGCTGGCTATGATAGCATGCAAGCATAACTGTCAATCCTTTATGATACATATAAGGTGGGCAGCGTATGAATCCAGGCTACTTATAAATTCCTCAACTTATCGGCTGTTCAAAAACTCCCCAGACATCATGGAGGCAGGCGGTGGGAACTATCGGGGAAAAGGCACGGTCCGGCGCTTTTTAACGTGGCTCCGTTGATAATATTCACTGACCACCGGGCTTTATGCTCACGATTGTCTGCGAGGGTCAGTTTGACCTCTCCATTCGGACCTCAAAATCAACTGGACCGATTTCACCGCTTAGCGGCTGAAAAAGCCTGAAAGCAGCTGCAGTGACCGTTGAGGTGTCATATGCCTCTTAACATGCACATAGTCGAAACATATCCCAGTGGTATGGGTGGCATATTATGTGTTCATGATCACGACACGTCTAAAGAGTACCTCGCACTGTCGGTTTCGTCAGGAATCTAAGGAATGATGCACGCTCTTTGGTGGCATCTTTTGTCAGCGACTGAGACATGACTTTCCCACCAGGAAAGCACGTGCTATCTCTGGTTGGGACTTCGCCGATCTACGGCGTCTGATTCATCAAAGCACGCCTCAAAATGTTGATCGCATTCAGAAACTGAAATTGTACGTAGACACAATACTTTGAACAAAATCGTTGATTTTTCAGTCAGGTATGCTGGTAAGGGGATAAAGATTCAAGTTCAGGTCATGTTGTTATTCAAAAGTGTTGTTACAGGTGATCTATAACTTTCGGCAATTCCGAGCGTGCTGGAGAAATTTCTCCCGATTCGCTTGTAACTACAGCTCGAAGGACGCTCTTAAATCTGGCTAGGTTGGTGCAACTATGCTTTACCATTGGCTGTGCGACTGTTAATTCTATCAGAACTAGAAATTGCTAATGCATAGCATACATTGTGTCTGGTATGGATAATAGTTGGGAGTCCTCAGCCGAGCCATCTGATAACTAAGCGCAAGCCGGTTGGATGCATCATCGGCCCATGACAATTCGATTGCATGATGATTGGATGCATGGTGATTGAGATGCATGGTGAATGGATGTATGATCAGCTCATGATTGGTGGGTCCCCGATCAGTCAAGTCGTGGCAATAATTGATATATGATAAATAATAAAATCAACAAAGAATAATAAAAAAGACAGCTCATGTCGCGGATATTATTTTGTCCGTTTGTGTCTGGAACAAAGCTCATGACATGTGAGAAAACATTGTTGTCATGATAATAACACTGTTGTCGTGATAATAGTATTGCTGTTTGCTACCACGAAAATGGTGTTTGTGTAGCATATATTGTAGCATTTTGAATAGAATGTTGTCCTACTGGAAAGTAGTGCAATGTGTGCCCTTTTAACAAGGAATAGAAACCGGCACTCGTACGGTCAAACAAGTAGTATCACGACGCCTCCTAAATGTTAGGAGACGCCGTTCTGAGAGACTGCCACTGTACCCGTCAGGTGTGGGCCCGTTCATCCTACCAATGGGCGGAAAAGCTTAGAATAGCCGGCCCTCCTTCTGTAAGAGATTACGATCTTCTCCGTCTTCATATAGTGGCGTTTGGCCACTTTTGTGGATAACATTTCACAGTATGTCTGCGATGGCAGCATTATAACATGCTTTACCCCCTCCCAGCAGATTATTTCATAGAATCGTTGCTCAACTTGCTCGGTCATTTCTGTTCTGGCAGCTCCAGATTGCCAGTTTGTCTACTTCGTTGGCTAAGTTGCTCCCTTTGTCCAGCGGCAGTTTTAGCGGTTCTTCCAAACCCCCTGTCGAAAACACGCACGTGCGGGAATTTTTGACACGCATGCCTCTTCAGTAGTGCACGCAGATGCCCTGCAAAGCTAGGGGGAAATCCAGCATGAGCCTCGCTTTTTCCATGGAACGTCATTAGATCACCGCCCTTGGGGAGGCGAAGAGGCAGTGTGTCCCACCGGCGCGCTGGTCCCGCAATCTACCGCCCAGTCCGTCGTCCTCGTCCGACACCCCTCGCCGCCAGCCAGTCGTCTCTGGCGTGTTAAGTCGGCACCTGATAGCATCGCAGGACCCGTTGGGTAACCCCTCGAGCGGCCTCCCTTTTCCCTCGCATCCCGCTGCGTCGGTGAGGTAATAGTGAGCGGTTCGGCCGCCAGGTTCGCTTGTCGTCGATCGCTTTGCGCCACCGTGTGTGTGTGCCCTACTATACGAGTAGACGCCGATGGCCGCTGGCTTACTGTTCGGTCATGTCTGGTGGCTGCTGCCAGCAGTTCCAGTGGAACCCTCTGAGAAAATGTGGGAACAACGGCTTTGGCTTTGCTTCCGTCTCATGCGTCGACGTATAGTTAATGTATTGGTTAATTATCAATGCTTCAGTATCTTAGATTGAATAATTGGTGAGTTAAATATCATACTTTGATAACTAATTAGTTATCATAACTTTTAATTAGCATCATAACTTTAATATCTGTTTAATAAGTGTGAAATATTTGAGTACTTTTGTGGCTTTTGTTGAAATTATCAAACCAGCGGGAGGCACACCTCCCCTAGTTCGGCTGCATTCAGGAAAAGTGCAAAAGGGAGCTTGGGCTTTTTTGAGTCATCCCTTTAGCTTTCATTTACCATTTATTTCAGCCTGTTATTGAAAGTTCCTGATGCCACTAAAACAGACAGGAAAAACAACCAAAGTATGAGCTTAACCGTAGCCGGTAATTGCATTTGCTGTGTGAATCCCTGGCAGCGTCGTAAGCTCTCAATGATAGTAAAACCCTACTGTCGCTCTGAGGAAGAAATAGTTCAAAAATATTTAGTGATATAGAGTATTATGGATTTGCTGAGCAAAATATTTCGATGATCTTGATAACTGTTTCGCCTTACACCTACTATATATATATATATATATATATACTATATGTATACTTAGACTATAGACTCTATATATATATATATATATATATATATATATATATATATATATATAATATAATAGGCTCTTTAGCACTTATAGACATATACATAAGCTTTATATTTCATGTTTAGGTTTTGGATGCTGCCGAGGCAGGAGCAGGAATTAGATTGCTCTGGCCTTTGCCTAGAGTGCGGTTTCTCCAACCGCGCTTACCCTCGCATTCATGCTATAAGTCCCGAGAGCCATGCCAGCTGTGTAGCGACACTTCGGTAACCATCGCAACGGGCAACGATCACTGGTAACGATCGATCGTAGCGATCGATGAGGTAACACATCGCAGACCTGATCAGCATCGTCCTGCTCTGATCCATCTCCGAAACGGTTTCAACCTGCGCGCAGAACTCTGAACAAACCACGGGAAGCTCACAACAAGCATTGTGCAGCCGCGATGACGCGGGAAAAAACAGCGCGGCGCTCCGTTGACTTGTGCAATCACCAGCCTGCTTCTTGATAGTCATGTTGTTGTAAGGCTCCCGCTTCAGCCACAAACCACAAGTTGCGTCCGTGCTTCCCGCCGACGGCTTCCGCCCACTTTCAAGCCCGCGCCACTCGAGGTGCGTCGCTCGTTGACCTTTCCCTGACCTCGGGAGGTCGTTGTTCAAGGTCAGGAGAGCGGCAAGTACGGGCACTGCCGCCGGCACTTTCTAGTCGCGGTGGACGCGTAACCTGGCGACGGGCGTAACCTAGCGACGGGCCTCTCAGGGTTACTACCGGCACCGGCGGGCGATAGAGAGGGAGGGGGAGGGGCGGGTACGCTTGCGCCGCACGATGGGGTGTGGTTGGCGGTGAGAGGAGCTGTGCTATTGCGCGCGGCAGTGGGGAGGGGAGGGGCGGGGCGGTGGGAGAACGTCGGTCGCTCCACTGTGTGGTGGCTGCCTACACTCGCCGGTGGGGTGAATGCCTCCACGAATTTGGTGCCGTTTTTTGGTGCTGTGCGTGTGTTTTTTGGCGCTCTGCGTGTTGGTCTGTGTGCAAAACATACTCGGCAACGGAGACCAATATCACGATACAGTGTTGTTCAGTCCAAAACAATTTGGGCATACAACCGCATTGTTAATACTTACCTTACCTTCAGTCGGTTGTTGTTGATTGTAGTTTAAGGG